TTTTATGAAGTAAGAGAAAGTATAACTAGACAATCATTTGATGAACTTTGTTTAATAGATTTTAATGCGGTTTTGACAATTTGATGGATAGGAAAAAAGATGGAAAGAGGAGTAAACAAGGGAATGAATTACCACGGTCTTTTTTAAAGATGGTAAAAGAACTAACTTTAATAGATTCGTGGAGAACAAAAAATATAAATAAAAAGGACTTTACTTTTTACTCAGCTAGACATAAGACGTGGTCGAGATTCGACATGGCTTGGACATCGGCATCAATAACAAATGACATCTGGGAGGTAGATATACTACCGGCTTCTTGGTGAACAACTACAGAGTACATTTTATTCAAATAATGATTGTTTAAATGTTTTAAAATGTTTTAATAGTGTTTTAAGTTTAAATGTGTTATAAATGAATCTGGCATTGAGCCAGGCAGTGTGAGCTGCCCTGAGCCCACTTGCGGGGGAGGGCGGATTATAAATATAAGAAGTAAATAAATAAATAAATTCTTTTGCGGACCAAAATCCGCTTTTGCTGACTTTAACTGATACACCACGGAAAAATAGGTGGACAATGAACGTAAGTCTATTTAAAGATGAAAAATTTCTTCAAAAGCAGAATTTTTAGCCATTTTTTAAGGAAAACTGCCAGCCAGAAAGTCCAATGGCTATTGTTTGGGACACGTTTAAGGCTTATCCTAGAGGCTGGTTGATAAACAAAGAGGATTGATTTTTAAACAAATACATGAGCAGATGAAAATGGAAGAAAGTAATATGAAAAAAGTGAATTTGATACACAAAAAATGAGAATGAAAATTCAAAAATTACAACACCAATTAAACTCTCTCTTAACAGAAGAAATTGCAAGAAAAATTGAATATGCCAAACAATATTAATTTCAAAACGCAAATAAACCCATGAGGTGGTGTTTAAACTGAGAAAGGAGAAGGAGAAAAATAAACTGAGAAAGGCGAAAGAGAAAAAGTATATAAAAAGTCTGAAAAATGAAGAAGGGGGGAAAAGTTTCTTTTGGAAGATCTAAAAAAGATAGTAGAAATTTTTTTACGGAAAATAGTACCCGCAACAGGAGTTCAACCAGGAAGAGATCCACATTTTTTTAATAAACCAATATAAGAAATTTTCTGAAAATCAAAAGAAACTCCTAAATGAGCCAATTACTGCATGTGAATTGGTAGAGGCAATAAGGAAACAAAAGGATAAGAAAACACCAGAACCAGATGGCACACCAGTCACATTTTATAAAAAATATGAAGACCAAGTGATTCTTCCACTGAAACATACAATTAATAATATACTGGAAGAATGAAGAATGCCAAATTCATGGAAGGAAGCGCTGATATCACTGATTCATAAGCAAGGAACAGAAAATAATGAAATTAAGAATTTTAGACCGATTTCCTTGCTAAATTCAGACTATAAGATTTTCACAGCAATATTGGCAACTAGACTAAGGAAAGTTTTATCTCAAATAATTTCTAAAGATCAAGCAGGCTTCCTACCCAAGAGACAAATAAAAGATAATGTAAGAGTAATTCTTGATGCGTTAGAATTCTATGATCTACATATATAAAAAATATGGCTATGATTTTTATTGACGCTGAAAAAGCGTTTGATAACATAAACTGGAGATTTCTATTAGAAAAATTAAAAATCTGGGATTGCAGAGCAAACTTTTTAATGATGGTCAAAGCAATATACAATAAGCAGCAGGCCAAAATAGTAATAAATGGTGACATATCAGAAAACATAGATATTAATAAAGGTGTAAGACAAGGTTTGCCTGCTTTCACCCCTCTTATTTATTTTTGCTTTAGAATCCTTGTTAGATATTGTAACGATTCCTTGTTTTATGAGTGTGTATGTGCCTTTAAATGCTTGGTTGAAGTGTGGTGATAAGCAGACTAGAGTGACTGAGAGAGACAAATGTGCTGTGATTGGTGGATGACAGTGTGGGGGGAGTTTTTGAAAGAAATCTGTGTGTGTGTGTGTGTCAGTTAGTTATGAAAATTGGTTATGAAAGGCAGTTGGAATTGTTCAGTTGGTGTTCAGTCAGTGAGGGTTAATATAGTTCTGTGTGAGATCTCTAAGAGGGGTGTATATATGTTCTTAGTCTGAGTGGCTGACTCTAAAGGAAAGAAAAAAAGTGAATTCTGTTAATGTTGGAACTGAGTGTCAAACAAACAAAAGTAAAGGAAAAAAGGCTGTGTGTGTGATACAGTTGACAAATATATTTACAAGAACCTTATTCCCAGCCAGTTACATAATAACCAACCTCTTATTTTGTTCCTCTTTCAATAAATCCTATTTTATTTAAATATATCCCAGAAGTCATATCAATCATTCCTCAGGACCACATAGATCCCTGAAAAGCCTAGACCTTGTGTTACCCTACCAGTAAGAGAAACAGAGAGAAGGTTTGGAAATCCTTAAATTCCTGGTGGCAGCCAAATCTACCCAGTTTAAAGAAGAGCACATTTAAAGGGAAAACTAGTCCTCCCCTAATAGAAGGACACCACAGATATGATCAGAGAGAACAAACAGATTAAAGGATTAAAAGTTCGGGGGGAAGAATTTAAAGTTTTGGCCTTTGCTGAAGATATGGTGTATATTATGGAAGAACCACAAGCATCGATGGCCTTGCTTACAGAAACATTAGAGAAATACAGTAAAGCAGCAGGTTTGAAAGCGCTTAACAAAAACTGTGATGAAAAAATAATAGAATGTATTAAAGAGATTTCAGGTTACGAAGTTTGTAAAAAAGTCAAATATTTAGGGGTGTACATTACAAATAGAACGCTTTTTAAAGATAATTATAGCAAAATCTTGATGGAAATAAAAAATGATCTAGAGAGGTGGGAATTGCTACAATTAAAATGAATGTGTTGCCACATATAATATTCCTTTTTCAGAACAAACAGATTATAAAAAGCACAATTTTTAAAAAAGATCTAGATAAGCTGGTTAGGGAATTTATGTGGCAAGATAGAAGGCCAAGGATAAAATTAAAATATTTACAAGACACTACAAAAAGAGGTCTGGCGCTACCAAATTGGTCATTATATTATAATGCGGCAGCAATGAGCTGGATCAAGGAGTGGATTATTTTAAAAAACAGTAGATTACTTAAACTGGAAGGCCATGACCTTATGGAGGGATGGCATACATATATATGGTACCAAAGTGTAACATCGACTGAGCATTTTGCGCAACATTGGATAAGAGATGCATTATATAAAATTTGAAAGGAAGTTAAATGGAAATATTATGAGAAAATACCTCAATGAGTTTCTCCAATAGAAGCTCTTGTTAAACCATCATTATATGTTAAATACCCTAAATGGAGACACATGGATTTATTGGATGGAAATGGTAAATTAATGGCGGAAGATGTCCTGAAAAAACACAATACGAATTTAACCTGGTGGGAAAGGATGCAATTAAATTCCAGATGGACGAAAGATTAAAAAATAGGTATTCATACTAAATACACTGATTTAGATGAGATACGGATTAAAAATAATGATAAAGTTATTGGCAAAGTATATAATTTTCTACTTGAATACAAAATGCAGGATGAATGGGTTAAACCCACAATGGTAACATGGGCACAGGATACTGGATGAAATATAGGTTTAGAAGAATGGTCTAAGGTCTGGTCTAGAAACATAAAATATGTTAAAACAAGTAACTTTAAAGAAAATATAACAAAGGTGTTTTATATGTGGCACATAACACCGGATAGACTCAATAAAATTAATAAAAACCTATCCAAAAATTGCTGGAGATGTAAATTAAATATAGGTATTTATTATCATATATGGTGGATATGTAAGAAAGCCAAAAAGTATTGGAGTATTATAAAAGGGATTATTGAAGAAACGTTAGGAATAGAATTAGAATCCAAGCCAGAAATTTTTTTACTAAGTCTATTACCAGAGGTGTATAAAAGAGCGGAAATTTACTTAATTATGCACTTATTGACAGCAGCAAGAATACTGTTTACAATATATTGGAAAGATGAAAATGTACCCACAAAAGAAGAATATATAGGTAAAATATTAGAAGTTGCAGAAACGGAAAAACTGACATTTACTATTCAAGATAAAAATGAACATGAGTTTGAAAAATATTGGACCAAAATGTATGAATGGTTACAAAAATCTAAAGAGGTTAAATAATCCTGTATAAACAGAAGCTGTAGTAGAATACTGGAAGATTCTCTGTTAAATGTAAGTTGTAATAGAGTATGCATGTGGGGTTTTTTGTTTTTTATTTATGAAAATGAAAATAAACTGTTAAAAAAAGGAAAGTTCTTAGTTACAACCACCCAAAGAAGGAAAGAAAGATTGTGCAGCAGAACACATTATTTCTACACTATGACTAAACCAAGAGTTAATACTGAATTAGATGCCCTGAGCCTGCCATGGTGGGTAGGGCGGGGTATAAATTGGAAAAACAAACAAACAAATATACTTACAACATATCACATTTTTAAAGTGCAGACTGTACATTTAATATTACAAGAACTCTTATGAAACATTCTCTTACTTGTGAAGCTAGCAGCAAAGATACAACACTTTTATATGAAAACTGGCACGTGTGCAGAGAGAGACAATTTTCTCCTGTGATTTAAGAGAAGGGGGAAGTTGCACGCTTCACTGGAGAGCAGCTTTGGATGTAATACACATAAATCTTGACCGCAGTGTTGACTTATTCAGACTGCCAAGTAAATCTGAGAAAAGCTTTGGAGAGCACCACTGCAGTGAATTGACAGCAGAAGTAAGCCTTCTTACTTCTGAGAAAATCCCAGTTCAAATGCCTGTTCCAAAGCTCACTGTGTGACCTTGAGCAGGTCACCATTTAATCAGCTGCAGCCTAACCCACTTCACAGAGGTATAGTGACAATACAGCACCTTGAGTTTCTTTTGAGAAACACAAATGTGATTTTTTAAAAACTTGCCATTACCAGTGCTTACTTACTTCTGCTGTTCCATCCGAAACCTCTCTTCTTCTATCCGCCTCCTTTCCTCTTCCTCCCGTCTCAGCCTCTCTTCTTCCTCTCGCCTACGTTTCTCTTCCTCCTTTTGTAAACGCTCTCGTTCTTCTTCTTCACGTCTCCTACGCTCCTCCTCTTCCCTCCTGTAAACGCCATAGTTACCATTAGACAATTCTACAATCTGAGCACACGGTATCTCTACCATTTTGCAACTTAAATAGAAGGCTCAAAGCATACATGATAACTCAGCTGCTTCGAGCTATCACAAGATCTCCAAACAATAATGATAAAACAAGAGATGGGGCAATTAAGTACATAAGAACATAAGAGAAGCCAATGTTGGATCAGGCCAATGGCCCATCCAGTCCAACACTCTGTCACACAGTGGCCAAAAATACCAGGTGCCATCAGGAGATCCAGCAGTGGGGCCAGGACACTAGAAGCCCTCCCACTGTTGACCCCCCCCAAACACCAAGAATACAGAGCATCACTTCCCCCGGAGTCCCTATCTATACCTTGTGGCTAATAGCCACCGATGGACCTCTGTTTCATATGCTTATCTAATTCCCTCTTGAAGCTGTCCATGCTTGTAGATGCCACCACCCCCTGTGGCAGTGAATTCCATGTGTTAATCACTCTTTGGGTGAAGAAGTACTTCCTTTTATCTGTTCTGACCCGACCGCTCAGCAATTTCATGGAGTGCCCACGAGTTCTTGTATTGTGAGAAAGGAAGAAAAGTACCTCTTTCTCTACCTGCTCTATCCCATGCATAATCTTATAAACCTCGATCATGTCACCCCCTCAGCCGTCGTTTCTCCAAGCTAATGAGCCCCAAGCGTTTTAACCTTTCTTCACAGGGAAAGTGTCCCAACCCTTTTATCATTCGAGTTGCCCTTTTCTGCACTTTTTCCAAAGCTATAATATCCTTTTTAAGGTGTGGTGACCAGAACTGTACACAGTATTCCAAATGAGGTCGCACCATTGCATTATATAGGGGCATTATGATATTGGCTGATCTGTTTTCAATACCCTTCCTAATAATCCCCAGCATAGCATTGGCCTTTTTTATTGCAGTCACACACTGTCTCGATATTTTCAGTGAGTTATCTATTATGACTCCAAGATCTCTCTCTCGGTTAACCAGTACGGTATAGCAGTGATTGGACACTGGTAAAATGAAGCTGAAGTAGGTTTAAAGGAGACCTCTTCTGGGATTCAGCATTGGTAGCTGCCCAAACATACTGCTACATATACATAACTATTTCAAACTTTGCATCAAAGTTTGTCCCAAAGCAGTTTCCAGTGTTGTACCAAAAATCAGAAAATTCCAGGAAAATTCTGGTCTACATACATACACTGTTCTAAATTCCTATTTAAAAGGAACTTCTCTCTCCACAATTTGGAATATTAAGTGAAGGATGCCTTTGACATATAAGTACAGAAATGAGACTGGCAGCTACCAGAAAAGAATTACATGCAACACAGGCTACAACGCCCTATTTTCAACAGCTATCAGAGCCTATGCTAATATGTTTCTGCATGGAATTGCTGACGATTCAGTGCCAAAGCACTGAATAAAATTTATGCCAACTGCTCAGCAAACTGAGGGGGGGGGGTAACATATTCAGTCTCTTTCTAAAACATGATCAATATTATGCTTGTTTTCATAATATACTAAATAAACATTTCAAGAGAAGCAATTATCTGAGTACAAAAACTAGTGCTGGTACAAAACGAACAGGTTAATATTGAGACAGTTAAAATAAAAAGCAAAATCTTATGATGACATTATTATATATAAAATTTAGTAAAGATACCAAGACAGAGCGCAACATGAGAACTCCCATGCAATTCCAGAAGCTCAGGTGGTTACCTTTTCTTTTCCTGCTCTTCTTTTTCAATTTTATGAGAGGTAACATATGTTGAGAAGAGATGACAGCACCTGTTTAGGAGCTTTACAAACTCTGTCATAGCATCCTGCTTTGTCATGTTTCCAAGACCAACCCATTCTTTCCTGCCAGAAGGAAGAAACGTAAAGGAGTAACATTTTGTCAAGCAAAATGTACATGGGGAAACAGACAGAAGCTGTTGTCCTAGCAAGTTAAGAGATGAAGCAAAGGCTTTTCCAGGCAGCTGATTAAGGCTAGAATTTCAAAGGCAAATCATCTCTTCAGAGGTCTGTTGGCTAGAGAGTTCACTATGCTGAACACCTCTTCTTAGACAAGCCATACCTTCTAGATACTTGGGTTCAGAGTTCGAGTGTGCTCCTGAATGCTGAGGAGGTAGTGGCACCCAGGAGTGTTACCATGAGCTAAGGCTGTTCTTTTTCCTCAGCAACAAGGATCTGGCCACAGTTACAAATGCCACAGAGACTTGCAGATTAGACGTCTATGTGGGACTGATCCTGGAAGCTGCAGTTTGTAGATTACCAGAGATCACCAACACTAGGACCATGATACGTCAGTCTGGATTTGGTTAGCCAGCAAGGTGTAGCAGTTAGGATCTGAGAGACATAGGTTCAAATCCTTACTCTGCCATGGAAACTTGCTGGGTGACTTTAGGCCAGTCACAGATTCCCAACCTAACTTACCTCACACGGTTGTCGTGAGGATGAAATGGAGAGGCACACTACATAAGCTTCTACGGGCTCCCACTGGGGAGAAACACAGGGCATAAATTAAGTAAATAAACTCCCCAATAGACTTGGACCCAATTCAAGGTGCTGATTCAGGCTTCAACAAGTCCAACACCAGAGCACCTTAAGGACCACCTCCAACATGAGCATCCCCAACTATACTGAGGCTCTGCCCCGTGTGCCCCCAGCACAATCCCTTCTTAGCTGCACTAGGGGGCACCGCCACACAACATTTCAGAGGGCTGCTCAGAGCATTTTAGCTTCAACTCACAACATTTTCCCCTTCCATAGGAAACAATGAAGGATGGGGGCACCTCCTTCTGGGGCCCACAGAATTGGACCCCCTGGTCCAATCTTTTTGAGACTAGAGGGATTTTTTGAGGTAGAGGCACCAACAGCTATGCTGCAAATTTGGTGCCTCTACCTCAAAAAAACGGTCCCCCCCAGAGCCCCAGATCGATTCTCCATTATAGCCTATGGGGTTCATTGACTATAATGGTCCCCATAGGCTATAACTGAGTCAGAATCACCAATTTTTTTGCATACCTATGTTTTTCAGGATGATTTGTAAGCTGCCTTGAGTCACAGGGAAAAGTGGGATATAAATATTTGGATAAATAAGTAGTTTGGGCAGGTTGATAACATTTAAGCAACTTTCTGTTTGTTAGGTTAAGCAGGGTTCTGACAGTAATTGTTCCACCTCTGTTATACTTGACCTGTATTATTATTATTATTATTAAATTTATACCCTGCCCTCCCCACCATGGCGGGCTCAGGGCGGCTAACAAACATATATATAAATGTATACATTTAAAACTCCAAAAACATGCTAAAAGCATAATACTGGTTGTCATATTTCACTAAAAAACCAAAGTAGACTGCAATAGTTTTTCTCCCTAAGTGCCGGTATGTTTTTTAAGGGTCAGGGCAAGACAACGGTCCAAACCCAGGTCTACCAATATAGTGGAAAGGGGCAGGGAGACCTGTGCTCCAGAGGCCTTGTCAACCCCTGTAGAGGACAGCATTTTGTGTAATGAAATTTGACTTGATTCTGTTTTCTCTTACAATGTTTAAATTATTCTTAAAATATAGTTTAAATATAGTTTAAAAGAATCCATTCTGAGATTTTTACAAGGTTATGGAAATAATCTTCTAAAAATAATTTATGCAATAGTCAAATTTAGACTCGCTCACAACTTTAATGGTACTAAGCTTTTTTCACTCATGAGGTAGAACTTTTGCTCACAAAACTGTGGAGTTTAGAGGGAATATTGGCCCCCCAGTGTCTGAAATCTGGTGAGTGGCAACATATGCCAAGACCTTCTCTGTGATGGCAAAACTGAGAAGTGCCCTCCCAAGAGAGATGGCCTGAATGGCTTTTTCATCAAAGTCTCTCAGGAAACTTTTGTTACAGCAGGATTTTTAGTTTAATTATTTTTTTGGCTGGGCAACTGTACTATTTTTGTAGGCTGTAATCGTTACATGGTTTTATTGTTGCCAGATCTGAGAGAATTAAAATCAAATTTGATTAGGTTGAAAGGTCTCCCACATTTCAACTATAGAACTCCAGAAATTCTGCTTTAGAGTATGTTCTGATAGTGCTAAAGAGCTATCAATATACTTATGATACTGTGCAAACAATAAAACAGACATTGGTTTGGCCTGGCCAAGAAGATTTAAAAAAACCCCGCTAGATGGGTAGCTGCTTTAAAACGAAAAGCTTTATACCTTCTGTCATTCCCCAGCACATCGAAGAATCCAACTTCAGGACAAATATCCGGATTGTAAGGTCCCAGCAGAACCTGCTTGTGCAATGCTACAAGTCTGAGTTTTTCTTCATATGTTGGATGAAATGCTTTACCATCTTTTTCTGAAGAAGAAAAATATTGTTATGAATTTAAAGACAGACAGACATAAATAAAGTCACTACACATTACTGTTCAACTAGTTACAACTTGTTCAACAATCCAACAAGTTTCTGGAGACTATCATCTCCTGAATAGGCACAATGTTCATGCTGCAAGAATGCCCTTATTCTAGCCCTACCCACCAGAACATGACACTGGGCTTTTTTGTACTGTTTGGAAGAAGGACACCCTACAGCAGGAAGATCCAGGGGAGTACAATGAACTTGCCAAATAAAACTGGAAGCCAAAAGGCTATGTCTGGCTTTAGTATTCCTATGTCTACACCTGTTCCCACACTCCCCACAAACCAAATCTCATAGCTGTCTTTCATTGGTGGTAGCCAAGTCAGTAGGTATGGACACTGGGACCTCTTCCTAAGAAACCACTTATCCCATTTTTGATGCTGGTTTTGAGCCACAATGATGAAGAAAGTTTTATAATACACTAACGATTTTAAGTCACCTATTGTTCCCCTCATGGATCACTGCCTTGTCGTGGCGAGGGGGCTTGCATGGTTCGATGAGGCTGTGGGCTATGCCGTGGAGGGCCACCCAAGACGGACAGGCCACAGAAGAGAACTCAGACCAAGCGTGATCCCCTGGAGAAAGTAATGGCAACCCACTCCAGTATTTGGCGAAGAACATGCAATCGACAGTATCAAAAGGCTAAAAGATATGATGCCGGAAGATGAGCCCCTCAGGTCGAAAGGTGTCCAATATGCTACTGGGGAAGAGCAGAGGGCAAGTACAAGTAATCCCAGAAAGAATGAAGCGGCTGGGCCAAAGCCAAAAGGAAGCTCAGTTGAGAATGTGTCTGATGGTGAAAGGAAAGTCCGATGCTGCAAAGAACAATACTGCATAGGAACCAGAAATGTAATCTATGAATCAAGGTAAGCTTGACATGGTCAAAAATGAGCTGGCAAGACTGAACATCGATATCTTAGGAATCAGTGAACTAAAGTGGACAGGAATGGGCGAATATAACTCAGAAGACCATTATATCTACTACTGTGGCCAGGAATCTCATTAAAAAAATGGTGTGGCCTTTATAGTCAACAAGAGAGTGCAAAAGTCAGTACTGGGATACAATCTCAAAAATGACAGAATGATTTTGGTCTGATTCCAAGGCAAACCATTCAACATCACAGTAATCCAAGTCTATGCCCCAGCCACTGATGCAGAAGAGGCTGAAGTGGACCGATTCTATGAAGACCTACAACACCTCCTAGAACTAACACCAAAAAATGATGTCCTCATCATCATAGGGGACTGGAATGCTAAAGTAGGAAGTCAAAAGGTAACTGGAATAACAGACAAGTTTGGCCTTGGAAAGCAAAATGAAGCAGGGCAAAGGTTAACAGAGTTTTGTCAAGAGAACACACTGGTCATAGCGAACACCCTTTTCCAACAACCTAAGAGGCGACTCTACACATGGACATCACCAGATGGGCAACACCGAAATCAGATTGACTATATAATTTGCAGTCAAAGATGGAGAAGCTCTATCCAGTCAGTAAAAACAAGACCTGGAGCTGACTGTGGTTCAGATCATGAGCTACTCATTGCAAAATTCAGACTTAAACTGAAGAAAATTGGGAAAACCACGAGGCCATTCAGGTTTGACCTAGATCGCATCCCTGATGAATATACAGTAGAGGTGAAGAATAGATTCAAGGGTCTGGATTTGATAGATAGAGTGCCTGAAGAACTATGGACAGAGGTTCGTGACATCGTACAGGAGGCAGCAATCACCACCATCCCAAAGAAAAAGAAATGTAAGAAAGCAAAGTGGCTTTCTGATGAGGCTTTACAAATAGCAGAGGAAAGAAGGAAAGCGAAAGGCAAAGGCGAAAAGGAAAGATTTACCCAACTGAACGCAGATTTCCAGAGAACAGCAAGGAGAGATAAGGAGGCCTTCCTGAATGAACAGTGCAAAGTAATAGAAGAAAACAATAGAATGGGAAGGACTAGAGATCTCTTCAAGAAAGTTGGAGAAATCAAGGGAGCGTTCCATGCAAAGCTGGCCATGATAAAGGACAAAAACGGTAGGGACCTAACAGAAGCAGAAGAGATTAGGAAAAGATGGCAAGAATACACAGAAGAACTATACAAGAAAGACCTCGATGTCCTTGACAACCACGACGGTATAATCACTGACCTCGAGCCAGACATCCTGGAATGTGAAGTTAAATGGGCCTTAGAAAGCATTGCTAACAACAAAGCTAGTGGAGGTGATGGTATTCCAGCTGAGCTATTCAAAGTCTTAGAAGATGATGCTGTTAAAGTGCTGCACTCCATTTGCCAGCAAATTTGGAAAACGCAACAGTGGCCACAGGATTGGAAAAGGTCAGTATACATTCCAATCCCAAAGAAGGGCAATGCCAAGGAATGTTCAAACTATCGCACAATTGCACTCATATCACACGCTAGCAAGGTCATGCTCAAGATCCTACAAGCTAGGCTTCAACAGTACGTGGATAGAGAACTGCCAGAAGTACAAGCTGGGTTTCGAAGAGGTAGAGGAACTAGAGATCAAATTGCCAACATTCGCTGGATTATGGAGAAAGCAAGAGAGTACCAGAAAAATATCTACTTCTGCTTCATTGACTATGCTAAAGCTTTTGACTGTGTGGATCACAACAAACTATGGCAGGGCCTTAAAGAGATGGGAGTACCAGACCACCTCACATGTCTCTTGAGAAACCTGTATAAGGGCCAAGAAGCGACAGTTAGAACCGGATATGGAACAACTGATTGGTTCAGCATAGGAAAAGGAGTACGACAAGGATGTATATTGTCGCCTTGCTTATTTAATATATATGCAGAGTACATCATGCGAAATGCTGGCCTGGATGAATCACAAGCGGGAATTAAGATTGCTGGGGAAAAGATCAACAACCTCAGATATGCAGACGATACCACTCTGATGGCAGAAAGTGAAGAGGACCTCAAGAGCCTCTTGCTCAGGGTAAAAGAGGAGAGCGCAAAAGTGGGCTTGAAGCTCAACATCAAAAAAACTAAGATCATGGCATCCGGCCCCATCACTCCTTGGCAAATAGAAGGGGAAGTCGTGGAAGTAGTGACAGACTTCACGTTCCTGGGATCCCAGATCACCGCAGACTGTGACAGCAGCCATGAAATTAAAAGACGCCTGCTCCTTGGGAGAAAAGCGAAGGCGAACCTAAACAGCATGATAGAAAGTAGAGACATCACCATGCCAACAAAAGTCCACATGGTCAAAGCAATGGTATTCCCAGTAGTCATGTATGGCTGCGAGAGTTGGACTATAAGGAAGGCTGAGCGCCGAAGAATAGATTCTTTTGAACTATGGTGCTGGAGAAGACTCTTGAGAGTCCCTTGGACTGCAAGAAGATCAAATCAGTCAATCCTCAAAGAAATCAACCCTGACTGTTCCTTGGAAGGCCAGATAATGAAACTGAAGCTCAAATTCTTTGGCCACCAAATGAGAAGGGAGCACTCACTAGAGAAGACCCTAATGCTGGGAAAGACTGAAGGTCAAAGAAGACGGGGATGGCAAAGGATGTGATGGTTAGACAGTGTCATCGATGCAACGAACATGAAATTGAGCAAACCTCAGAGGACGGTGGAAGACCGGAAGGCCTGGCGTGATCTGGTCCATGGGGTCGCGAAGAGTCGACTGTGCAACTGAACAACAAAAATTGTTCATTGCAAACCAGCACCACTGCAGTCCACAGCAACTGTACTCAATTGTCACAAGCATTATTTATTTATTTATTTGACTTGTATCCCGCCCTCCCTGCAAAGCAGTCTCAAAGCATGAATACTAGGTCAGCGGTTCTCAAGTTTCAGCAACCTGAGGATCCCTTTTTATTTTTTAAATAAACATTTGTGCAATACAATAAAAAGATATACATAAAAAAGCATATTCATAATAGGTACAAGGCTCTCACATTCTCCTGCAAGTGCCATTCTCTGTGCAACCCTCAACCGTAATGAGTCTACTCTGGAGATGCCCATTTTGATTTTGTAAATTTCTGTGGACCGATGCCTTTCCTTCTCCATCCCTGGCACACACCACATGCCAGAAAGCCCCTTTTTAAAGGCATGTGGCAAGCTGCATACACCCCAAGCTTTTGTCCTCAAAATGATATCGTAAGGCCCTTATTAGTTTTAAGTTAACTTTTTCTCTATACATGACCAACAAAGTCAGGTCTCAGCAGGTAGCTGATTCTATAAAGCTACAACTCAAACACCATGACCTGTCCAAATTAATCTCACCCATAACTGAAAGAAACTTTGTGCTGGAGACAGCAGTTAACTTCCTCATTGGTTAGTAACTTCTAGATAGAGGCCAGGTGAGCAGGTATGAAAAGGGATCTAGAAAAACATTCAGGGCTTCTTGATGAAATACAAGAAGGCCAATGTCACATAAAATCTGAAGCTGTAGCAGGTATATGAAAACCACTAATGGCAGTTACTGCCCATGGAAGCAGAGTGGTATTTCTCTCTTTCCATACTGAAATCCTTTACATGAGAGAGTAAAAAATAGTTCCTCTTTATACCATAAACTACTATAGCAACCACATTAAGACTGTACCTTCCCTAGTACCACTGAACAAATTAGAGGTCCTAGAGCTGAGCTCTTAGTTCTCAGAAACCACTTAGCATGTTTTCTGACTAGTACTCCAAGCTGGTCTGGAAGCTAGATGGCTGCAGATTGTGGCAACTCTATGACCTGTCCTTCAAACGAAAGGGGAGCTGTGACATCCTCCTTATTGGGGAGGACTGGGTTCCCTTTAAAAGTGTTCTTTTTATTCTGTTTATCTGGGTATAGACGGCTGCCACCACGAAATTTTAAGGATTTCCAAACCTTTATACTTTTACTTCTGCTCTTACTGGTTAGGTAGACCGAATTCAAGGCTTACTAGGAACTATGTGGTCCGGAAGAAGTATTTCTTTCAGATCTGGTATACTTGAATAAA